ACTTCAAAATATACAGCTGTCCCTCAGCATCCTTGGGAGACTGATTCCAGGAATCCCCATCAATACAAAAATCCACAGACACCAAAATCCACGGATGCCTAAGTTCTGTATATAAAATGGCGTAATATTTGTATATAACCTACACACATCCTCCCGTATACTTTACACCATCTCTAGATCACTTATAATAGCTAATGCAATGTAAATGCTATGTATATAATGGTTGTACTGTATTTTTTTGTATTATTTTTTACTGTTGTATTGTTATATTTTGGAATATTTTCTATCTGTGGATGCAGAACCCATGCACACAAGGGCTAACTGATGCATTTTTTCGTGTAAATAACACCTCAGTAAAGTTGTTTAAAAAATGGCTGAACAGCCTAGTGGTGACCACCAAGCCACCACAGGAAGTGCCCTGGGCTCTCCCAAGCCAGGGTGGTGGGGGGCCGAGGGCCTCAGCCAAGCCTCCCCCAACATGTGCAACCAGCCCAGCAGCAACCACCAAGCCACAGCAAGAAGGGCCCCGGTTCCTGAGCTGGGGTGGTGGGGGGCAAGGGCTTTTGCCACACCCTCCTGACATCTGCACCCAGCCTGGCAATGACCAAGCCACTGCTGGAAGCCCCCTGGTCTCCCCTATGGGAATGAGGGGGTGCCACAGGCCTCAATCCCCCCCCTCCTCCTTCCTCCTTCTTCCATCACATTTCCTTCCCCTTTCCCCTCTCCCCCTCCCTCCCAACTGCTCCAAAACAACATCCTAGAACGTAAAAAGTAATATTAATAAAATTACATTAAAAAAAATAACTCTCTAACTATGTAAATGGTATTTTTTCAACTATTATGCGAAGTCTCCATTTCCTTCTATAATTCAGACAAACGTCAGAAAGGGCAAATTTATAGAGAGTGGAACACTGTTCATTCATTCAACAAGTGTTTGTTAGAAGTGACCAGACACTGTTATTCTAAATATCATGCTAGGTACAGAGATAACTCACACATGGATCCAACCTTCTAAAATTTTATAGTCTGACTGGAGATGAACACATAAGTACAGCATGAC